TCTCACATTTGACTTGAGATATATAAGTTGTATTTTATAAATTTTACTTGTAGTTATTAAATTTAAGTTGTATTTTTAAAATTTTAGTTGTAGTTTTTTAATTTAAGTTGTAATTTTTAAATTTAAATAATAAATTATGTTTGGCCCTCGGTTGGAGATGGTAAGAAATATGGTCATGCATAGTTCATTAAAATATTAATTTCTTAGAGGATCAGATGGATAAAACAAGCCATTTGGCCAGCGTTCAATTGGAGATGAACTTAATGATTATAGTTTAAAGTGGCTATTATTAGAAATGTTATCTTTTCATTTCATCAAGATAAAATTATACAATGGTATGTACATATATATACTAGTGACTCGCTAGTCTTAGCGAACCAGCTAATTACAAAAATACCCAAACAAACATTCACTAATTACAAGCTGCCATAACCACCTTATAACAATTCTAACTAACTGTGTTTTTAACAGTTTTATCCTTATTATCCCCCCCCCCCCGCAAACCTAACTGAGGGAACCGAAGAGAGAGTTTGTTGCGAAGGAAGATGAACCGAGGCTTGGATAGAGGTTTAGTACAAATGTCAGCAAGTTGATCCTCCGTGCAGACAAAAAGAACTTGCACTTGATTGGCGAGCACTTTTTCGCGGATATAGTGATAATCTATCTTCACATGTTTGGTTCGTGCATGAAAAATAGGGTTCTTAGCCAAGGAAATTGCAGAGATATTATCACACCAAAGCTGTGGAGAAGAGGGAAGAACAAGAGCAACATTAGTCAGTAACTTGGAAATCTAGGTGAGTTCAGCCGCAGTGTTTGCAAAAGATCGATATTCAGCCTCAGTTGAGGATCAAGCCACAGTAGGCTGTTTCTTTGCACTCCAGCTAATAAGAGAGTCTCCCAAAAAAATTACAAAACCACTAGTGGATTGTCTGTCAATACTGCAACCTGCCCAATCTGCATTGGAGAAGGCAGTGAGAGTGAGAGACTTGGAACACTTAGGAAACCATAAGCCAATTTGCAAGGAACCCTTAAGATATCGAAGAATGCGCTTGACGGCCTGGAAATGTGCTTGCCGAGGACTATGCATGAATTGACAGACCAAATTCACTGCATAAGATAAGTCGGGCTTAGTCCAAGTTAAATACTGCAAACCACCAACCAAAGATTGATATTCTTCAGGATTATCAAGTAAAGGAGATTCATGATCCAATTTAGTGGTGCTAATCGGGGTAACACAAGGCTTGGAACCCTCTATATGAGCTTTAGTGAGGAGATCAAGAATATATTTGGTCTGAGAAAGCAATATCCTTGAGGATGATCTTGTTACTTCAATGCCAAGAAAGTAATGAAGGGGGCCAAGATCTTTGACAGGAAATAAGACACCGAGTTGAGTTATAACCTCTTGGCAAAGATGGGAACTTGGACCAGTGACAATAATGTCATCAACATAAATCAGAATGAAGACCAGAGCTGGTTCCCGTTTTACAAACAGAGAATAGTCATTATGAGAACCAGAGAAACCGAGAGACTTTAAGGCAGTTGTTAATTTCTCATACCAAGCCCTGGGGGCTTGCTTCAAACCATACAAAGACTTATGCAAATGACAAACATGAGAAGGCATTGTAAGGTCTTCAAATCCTGGTGGTTGTACCATAAACACAGATTCAGTGAGATTACCATGCAAAAATGTATTGCTAATATCAAGTTGATTGAGGAACCAATCAAACTTGGCAGCCAAAGTGAGAAGAAGCCAAATGGTAACCGGCTTTGCAACTGGACTAAATGTTTCAGTGTAGTCCAAACCTTGTTGCTGATGAAATCTTTTGGCAACAAGCCATGCTTTGTACCTGTCAATGGTACCATCAGGCTTGCATTTATTTCTGAATACCCATTTTGCACCAACCAAATTCTGAGAAGAATGAGAAGGGACCAAAGACCAAGTGCCAATTTGAATAAGAGCATTAAATTCTTCCTGTATAGCTTGCCTCCAGTGAGAGTGTTTGGAGGCTTGAAGATAAGTGGATGGTATATAGTCAAGTGACATCTCAGAGGAAATAGGATGTTTGGTTGCTAAGAAAACCTTTAGTTTGACAATACCGGATTTGGAACGAGTTTGCATGGAATGAGTGTTTTGAGGTATGAAGGGTGCGGCAAGTGGATTAGGGGCAGAGATGGGATGAGAAATAGGGTGAGGAGATGAGGAAGAGGAAATAGGTGCAGCAAGAGAACTAGATGCAGCAAGGGAACTAGGTGCAGTAAGGGAAGGAGATGGTAAAGGTGAAGATATAGTGGGAAAAGTTAAGGTTGTGGGAATGGTGTGATGATTCCTCAGTATTGAAGAACTAGAACTGGATGGGAGAGACTGAGATAAGTCTTGTTGAGCAAAAGGAAAAGTGACTTCATCAAAAATAACATGCCGTGAAAGATATACTCTGCCAGTATGAGGATCGAGACATTTATAACCCTTGTGATTCAAACTATAACCCAAGAAGACACATACTTTGCTCTTTGAATCAAGTTTAGAGGAAGTGTAAGGCTTCAACCAAGGAAAACATTTGCAGCTAAACACTTTCAGAGAGGAATAATCCGGAGGTTTGTGAAAGAGTAATTCCCAAGGAGAATACTTGGTAGCTGTCGGCATTCTGTTAATCAGATAGATAGCCGTGGCAAAATCATCATCCCAATAGAGCTTAGGAACTTGAGAGGCTGCTAGAAGAGTTCTAGCAGTTTCAACTAGATGCCGATGTTTGCGTTCAGCACATCCATTCTGTTCAGGTGTGTGAGGGCAACTTAACTGATGTGAAATGCCATGTAATTGCAGATAATTGATGAGCTTGAGACTAAGAAACTCTCCACCAGAATCAGATCTTATAGTAACTATTTTAGAACTGAGTAGATTTTCCACGGGAGCTTTAAACTTGACAAATGTGTCAAAGACATCAGACTTGGATGCAAGAGGAAAGAACCAAGTGTATTTGGTATAATCATCAACAAAAATGATGTAGTAACGATGTCCATTGATAGAAAGAAGAGGGGCTGGACCCCATACATCAGTGTGTAACAATTCCAGAGGTTTACTGGAGGTACAGGAAACAGAAACAAAAGGTAATTTTGAAGACTTGCCTAGAGCACAGCTGGAGCAGACAGTTTTATTTAAAACACTAGAAAGAGAAATACATGACTTGGACCATAACTCCCGAGCCGAATTAACACCAACAGTGTAAAGAATGAGAGCATCCGAGAGCGTAGAGTTGATCTAGATCAAGATGTTCTGATCATTCATATACCACGCAACATATTGGGGATTCAGAGTGGCAGTGCGATTTCCAGATGCATCGAGAAGGAATTTTGACGGAGCAGCCATTGTGCCGTCAATTAATCCGGTAAGATTGTACCGGCGGAAAATCGGAGCGAATAAAGCACTCCAGGTCAGGTAGTTCGTCGTTGTAAGCTTGATTGGAACCATGGATCCAATGTTTTGGATCGTAATTGCAGAATTAGGGTTAGAAAGGGCAGCAAGAATTGGATGAATAGGAGAATCCGAAGCGGAAGAAGACTAAGTTGCAGAGGTCGTCATAGCTTGAAGAAGAAGAAGTAAGAGCGTTGAAGCGATCGATTGATCGGAGAAGAAGAAGCAAACCCTAGGAGACAATGCAGAGAGAGAGGCGGGAAAAATAGGATCGAAAATGTCGTGAGACTTTTAGGCGGGTGATACCATATTAGAAATGTTATCTTTTCATTTCATCAAGATAAAATTATACAATGGTATGTACATATATATACTAGTGACTCACTAGTCTTAGCTAACAAGCTAATTACAAAAATACCCAAACAAACATTCACTAATTACAAGCTATCATAACCACCTTATAACAATTCTAACTAACTATGCTTTTAACAGTTTTATCCTTATTAGCTATGAACGTTTACCTTTGCACTTGAGTAATATAATATGTAAGAAGGGCTTGGCCCACCCTTTTTAAATATTTATTTTTAATATATACCTGTGTATTAAGAAAAGGCACTTTCTGATCCTTTTCCGGGCACCAAAAAACTCAAGACCGGCTTTGCTTTGGATGACTCATTTGTGGACTTAGGGCCAGTTGGGGAGTACTATGCTTTAAAAAAAATTGTTTATGTTGTGCTTTAAGAATAATCAGCTACAAAATAAAGTAGCTGAGTGTTTGATAACTGTATTTTTATAAGTGTTGTGAGTATGAAAAGCATTGTAAAAGCGTGTTTGGTAAAATTTAATGTAAAATGATATAATTGTATATAATAACAAAAATGGACATGATAATTTGCGTGATGACGTTGACAACGGTGGCTAGGACAATGGTTGTGATAGTAGTGGTGGTGGTGGTGCTGCTGATTAAGGGGTGTGGTGGTTGAGCTACAGAGGTAAGTGGTGGTAGTGGTGACGCTTATGTGTTATGGTCGTGGTGGTGGCTTGGTGGTAACAATGGTGGTGTAAGAGGTTAGGTTTGTAGTGGTTGGCAGTAGTAGTCACTTTGTGCACCAAAGACAAAATATGTAAGGATAAATAATGTCACTTTTAATGATTCACAAAACGGAGAGACATGGCAAATACCCTTTGAATTTAGGGGCTCATTCCGACTTATCTTTTGAACTTCCAATTTGTTTATGAATCATCCTAACATTTTAAAACAGTTAGAAATGATAATTGCACTCATTTCTTAATTTTTAGTAACCCAAGTTGATAAAATCAATAGTCAACCGATATGATTAAACATGACTACATGACATAAGTGTGTAGAGAGATAAATAGTGTGTGATAGGAAACCCTAATGGAGCTTTTCAGTGGGTTACAAACATATGCCCTAAGCCCACATTGAGAATGGGCTTAAATTTTATGCGGCATGTCTTATGAAGGGTCGTTTACTTTACACAGACTCCGAATTCGGCGCGTCATTTCCCTCGTGAAAGGCCGTTTTAAGTGCATTTTCATCAATTGTTCTGTTTCTAACTTTGTACAACGCCATCCTTTTCTTCTTCTTTTCTCCTCTCCTCTGTTTCCACAAACTTCAATGCAAACATAACAAAACCCAACATTCAAAATATCCTCTATTTTGTTAATCACCATTCTACGCGCCATTGTTTTATGATTACCCAATTTCCGTTTGTTTCTCGGGAAAATCACATTGGAAAGAAACCGTGGGTAAAGAAAATGCTCTCTGATCAGCACTTTTCTCATCCCTTCTGTCAAAACAAGAGAATGGGTTTATTTTTTTGGTTTTTTGACTGCTAACAGCTTTTTGTTTGGTGAATTCTGGATCTGGGCAGGTGTTGTGGGGTGTGTGTGTGAGGAGTAGAACGTATGGCGTACAAGGTGGATCACGAATACGATTACCTCTTCAAGATTGTATTGATTGGAGATTCGGGTGTTGGAAAATCGAACATTCTTTTGAGGTTTACGAGGAATGAGTTTTCTTTGGAGTCTAAGTCCACCATTGGAGTTGAATTTGCAACTAGGACATTGCAGGTTGGTTTTGTTTGGAAAATATTGATCAGTTGCAATTTTCCTGCTTCTAGCTTTTCTGTTCTTTAATTTTTGTTTGAATTGAAACAATGGTGAAAGAATATATTATTTATAGAATTGTAGGAAATCCGTATAACTGTCTCCTGATAGTTGTTTCAATTTCTCGACGCAAAGTTTCACGTAGTACAAAAACCTTTGTGTCCATCTGATAACCATTTCGGTTTTTACTAATTTGTTTTTGTGGTTCTTCTTACTAAACAATGGATTGAGTTTTAGTACCCTTGGTGCATATCAACTTTAACTATTTGTTTATAGCTTGTGGATGTTTAGGGTATAGTACCAGTGTTGCCCTGCGTTATCATCCAGTTTACGCCCGTGCCATGGACAATCTAGATAGAACACTGCCATTCTGCAGAATATTGTTTGGTGACATTTGGATCTAAAATCTACCCAACCTTACCGTGTTACAATACCAACTTAGCCGATTTCAAGATATAATTGAGTTGTTAGAGGCAGAGCTCTGCGCAAGGCTTCTCTTGTTGTGAGTCTAAGCTTACCTTTTTCTCTTTAGTGTAGATAATATTGTTTGTTAAAAAAAAACTTAGTTCAATCAATTGGCATTGAAGTTTATCTGTGTGACGATTACACCACCACGCAGGTAGACTTTTCCAAACACGTTAATTACCATTGTCTCAAGCTATGTTGTATTTTTCACAATACTCACCATGAAAAGGTATATTCTATAGCTTTGTTCTATTTCGTATGAAAAATTAGTGAATAGTTTATTGTTTTTAGGTTTTTTTAATGGATTTTTTGTATAATCAATTTATTAGACTATTAAATTGCTGAAAAAAGTTCTCTCTAATTGGTATAAAATCAGATTATTTTCCTCCAAAAAAAAAAAGACTAGGTAGCAATACTTTATCCTTATTTTTTTGTAATATAAGCCCGTTGATGTATAAATTAATTGCATGTATTTTAATATTTCATATTTTTCCTTGCTGAGGTTGCTTTCTTCACAATCAAGAAACTTTAGGTGCTTCAGTGAATAACTTAGATTTTTTTATTTTTTTTTTTATGTAGAGACAAAAGTTCTACAATTGTTTGTGTGTATACTGTATAGATTAAATTTTTTGTTTGTTAAAATCGTGTAACATTTTTAATGTAAATAATATTAATAGTCTATGATAATTTTTTTTTAACAATTTCTAATCACGCGGATAACAATTTTTAGTTGAACCTATACTAAAACTCAAGCAAAAAAACACTGTTCACCAGTGGTAAACGGGCGAAAATGCCCTCTGAATGCTTTTTTATGTGCCTTTTTTTTTGCGTCTTTTTCACAGTAAAAAGGCGTTTTTGCCCTTGCCATCCACCTGGTGGAAAAGCGTTGCTCACCAGAATTAAATTAGCGATATTGCCCTGTCAAACAGTTTTCCTGCTCCGTTCTTTCTCCTCTTTACACGTAAGATTACCTATTTGTCCATGCTTGCCTCAAGCCTCTCTTGCATCTTCTCGATTTTTCCTTCGGTTTCTTCTTTCTCACAAATCTGTGCTTCTGCCGCTGTTGAACTCGCTCTCGAATCTTGCGCTTTTTCTCTCACAAAATACCGACATGGGAGACCCTTTTTTTGTTTCTTTGGGGATTTTATTTGCAGCCTCCTTATTCATTGAAACCCAGATTCCTTAACGTTTTTTCAAAACTTGCAAATTTGGTTTCGACCGTTTTATCCCGATCTCACAATCATCAACGCAAAATCTTGAGGATATTGGCCTCTGTTTCCGCCTCCGACCCCGGAGTTGGGATCACTCTCGTAGAGCTGCCTGCGTCTATGCTTTCGAAGGTATGGCCTTCACCAATCCCATGTTTTAGTTTGTTTCTGATTCTTTTTAGTTTTGGATTTGTAATTTTTGTTTGTTGAGTGAGAAGCTTCAACTTTTAGCTCAGAGTTTGAAGCCTCAAAGTTTCCAGTTTATGAGTCAAGTTATACTGGGCCAGAGTCACCTTTATCAACTGCCTCTTTATAGAAGGATAAAAGTCCTTCTCTGGTAATTAGATTATTGAATATATCAGAATTTAAGTCCTGTATTAGTGCATTCACTGATGATAATTGAAAAAGGTTAATCCTTTGTGTTTCAGGAATGCAATGTTAGTTCTCCTACTATCAACCTCTACCGACTGTTTCTCATCAATGGTGCAACCAGTTGACCCAGAGGGAATCTTAAGGTTGATTTCTGAATTGGTCTAATTCTAACTCTATTTCCATCTCTCTCTCTCTCTCTCTCTCTCTCTCTCTCTCTCTCTCTCTCACATACATACACTCTATCAATGTCAAAGCGTCATCGTTACCAATTATTCAAAGTTGGTCTTCGGTTCATTTTATTAGAAAATTTCCGATTATCTTATGGCTGTTGTTTCATGTTTTATAGGATTGCATTTTGGGCACATGCTTTTGCATTTTAAGGTCTGAAACTTCTTGCTGATAACACTAATTGTTTGCACACTAGAAAATTCTTCATTTGATTCAATTGAGTTTTTAATTTCACCTTTTTATTGTTGCTGTGAATTGCTTTTCCATGCTAAAATCCATCTTCCATTTTTCCCTGGTTTTTTCTTCTCCGCACCTAACAATATTATTCTCTTTATGTTTGGGTGAAATTCTAAAAATTATTGTATTTTTGTATGAAGTTTGAAGCTTTGGATTGCGGAAATGGGGTTGAATTGATTGTGATATTAATTTGCACAGAAAGATTGAAAGCTTTGTTTTTATGCTTTCAAGCTTGGTTTTTAAGAGGTTCTTGGTCACGAAATTTATTTTAGTTCCTATCCCCTTGGCTGTTTGCAAAGCAAAACATCGATGATTCATGTATTATTTAAGTTTTTATGTTGGGATGCAGGTGCTTTCGGAAATATAAGAATTTGTGTGTTTGTTGATATGAAAAAAAAAAAAGAAAAAAAAAAGGACAGTCTCAGTTGTTTGTGAGTCGTATATCCCCTCATCAGTCTTCCCTAAATGAAATTTGTTTAAGGCTGTGATAATCATTTATAATTTATATGTAAAGTGGTTAATATAAAGATGCTGGTATTTTATCAGGACTTTATTTGATGCCTTCATAACATATACAATTACTAAGTAACATTTTTTCCCTCCGATTTCATCAATTTGCTTCTGATTCATGTTTTTACATACATTGGATAACTTCCAAATTAACCACGTGAAGAGAATGACTTTTCAAGCTTCGCAAGTTAATTAAGGGCCTTAATCACTATATAAGGCTTTTCTATTTCTAATGCTTATTATTATGCTCCTAGATTTCATCTTATCAAGAAAATTTTACTAATTGCAATTGTTAAATATTATTAGGGTGAGAAATGGATCATCGATTTGAAATCAGCTCTTCATGTAAGCAATTTATCCACTTATTCATCTCAAATTCTTCTTCTTTGTAGATTGTTCTGATACCCGCTCTCTCATTCTTTTTCATTGACACAACTCTTTCATTTCTTCTTTTTCATCATACTCTGAACTTACATTCCGTTTTCAGCTGCGAATTCTGAGGACAAGCTATACACAAGAAGAGATTATTAATGGGTTTTGGATGTGATATAGGTTGACATGTTTTGATGAAATTGAAGTTTTCAGTGATGTGCTTTTATAGAATTACAGATTTGAGTAATGAGTTTTTTCAATGGTGTTATTTTTTTTAACATTTATGATGCTATTTGTAAAATTTAGTTAGAATTTTTTTTAACAACTATATTATCGTTTGATTTCAATTCGTAATTACTGCTTTTGTTAAATTTAAGCTTGATACTGTCAGCAGATCTTTATACTTTATGTCCAAATATATATACAATGATGTATGTGTAGCTTTTATAATATTGCTCAGCATTTTGAGTGTGTTCTTTTTGTGTGTTGAGAGTAGAGTACACTGTTCACAATGGCAAAACAGGGGACATCTTCTACTTCATTTGGGAAGAAGAGGTTAGTTCGATTGTGATTACTTTTTTTATTTGGTTAGATTCAAAGTTGGTTGGCTTGCGTCTAAGTCAGTTGTTTCCTTGCACAGGTTGAAGTCACTGGTTTTATTAATGCTGGTGACTGAAATGAACTCAAGTTCATGTTAAAACGATGTCATAATTTTCATTATGGTGAGAACTGAGCCTTTTTTGTGATCATTCACTGAGAATTTGTTAATTGTTTTAATATAATGAGGTAGGATTTTTTACTTTCTAAGCTCCGTTTCTGATTTTCAATAATTGCTTGATTTCATATTGTCAAATAGCTTATGAAATTTCATATTAAGTGCTTCAATATGTTGTTGTAGTTCAGTTAGATGTGATACAAGTTGATAGGTTTATACCTTTGAAACATAATTTTTTTTACACAATTTTTAATCCTGCAGCAACGTTCGTTACGGTTCGGGTAGAACTTTTTCTAGTTTGTACTATAAGGCAGCCGGTAGCTCTACAAGCAAATAACCGCTTGCAACCTTTTCTTAGTGCATAACATGTGCAATCATCGATGGTAATCCGATGGTTAACGTCCTTCTGCTCAAAGAAGAAAATGATCCGACCCAGCTTAGGTACTTGGACCATGATGACAATTGAAAAACTAGAGAGCCAGTAGCCAGTTGAAGAAATGTTGCGAAATAAGGTAATTTTTACTTGATGCAATTTTTGGTTATAGGGAATGAGGTACAAAAGCATATTAACTGTGGTATCAATTCCATGTCTAACTTTTCCAACATATACTGCTTTTGAAAAGAAGAAAAACCTCCTGACGTACATCGCATGCCATGCATCCATATTGACCTTGGGATACATCCACAAGTCAAGAAACAAGCATATTAGTCGGTATGCTCAAACAAGTGAGAGTGGGAATTGAGAAAATGCAGCTTGCTAATATTCCTAGCTCTCCCACCACTGGTCACTCGATCGATTGTTGTTCTTGGCATAATTTGCATGGTAGGGCATGCATTGTCCATACGTATATCTATCGATGCATGATCATGTGCCAACATCTAGAACACGTGGGTGCGTAAAGATTTTTATGCCACCGATACATGATGCTACTCTGATATTTTACATGTGTATACGTCGTTGTTTGGACATGTGCAAAGAAGGCCTACTGACGCTCCGATTAGAAGAGGCAACTATGGAACAGAGGTTCAGGCCGAAGGGGTAGAGGAAGACCTAGAAAAACTTTGGAAGAAACTCTAAGAAAAGACTTAGAGTACTTGGATCTAACGAAGGACATGACACAGGACCGAGCACAATGGCGTTCTAAGATTCATATAGCCGATCCCACTCAGTGACTTGGATTTTCCAAGTCTCCAACCGAGAAGTTTTCCTCACTCGGGAAATTAAGGGAACACTACCTCAACCTACATGCTCCACTCACAAAGCTTCAACATACAAGCTTCAACATACAAGCTTCAACAAAAGAAAATTCAAAGAACTTAGCGAAGAAGGCTTTGGTGTATTTAACACAATACGTTGAAATGAAGGAAAGCTTATTTATTGATATCCCCAATAAGTTACAAATATGTACATATACATAAGTCAAAATAAACAAACAAGAGGAAGCCTTCACAAAGGTTGCTTAGGAGAAGTCTCAGCAGTCGGTAGAGCCCCAGAAAGAGAAGGCACCGGAGGGGGATCATTCGGAGCCTCAGTACTGGACAGAACCCTAGAAGGATGAGGCATCAGAGGTTGATCATTTGGAGCTTCATTAAGCGGTACAACCCCAGAAGATGAAGGCAATAAATGCCTTTGGAACAAACCCACAAATCTCTGATGATCAAGTAAAACCTGACCATCAGATTCCTTCATCTGGTCAAGCTTCCTCTTCATGTTTGTAGCATAGTCATGTGCGAGCCGGTGCAACTGTTTATTCTCATGCTTGAGCCCTCTAATCTTCTGTTTGAGACTCATCACTTCAGCCGCCAATGATTCAACTTGGCGGGTTCGAGCAAATAGGCGTTGGGCCATATTAGACACAGAACCTGCACACTGAACACTGACAGAGAATCCTTAACAGCTAACTCATCAGACCGTTTGGAAAGTAGTCTGTTATCTTTGGGAGTGAGAAGGTTCCTGGCCACCACCGCAGCGGGTTCATTCTTCATCCGGAATCCCAACGGTAAGATTCTTCATCAGTAGGGATCCCCAACGGAAGAGGACCATGAAGGGGGCGCCATATGTTGTCTGGAGAAGGCGGGGCTGCCTCTTCAACAAGGTTCAAGTCAAAACGACGGTCGGAGGGGCCAGACATTTTCAAAGGTGTTGAAGAGAGAAAAGGTCGGACAAATCAAGATCTTAGAAGTGCAAGAGTAGAGCTTCTACTGGTGGAGATTCAAGTGTGCTTTGGAACTTAATGCCAGCCCCTATAAAAATCTGCACTTGACAGAGCTTCAGAAATCGAAGAGGCGTCTGCTCAGAAATCGAAGAGGCGTTTGCTTTCTCAAAAGCTGGGCTGCTCAAAAACCACGAAGGCCGATCTCAGAAATCGAAGAGGCGCTTGCTTTCTCAAAAGCTGGGCTGCTCAGAGACCACGAAGGCCGATCTCAGAAATCGAAGAGGCACCTACTTTTCCAGCCTTGTCAGCATCTGTCACACGCACACTCAGCTTTGCGGAAATTATGGGCATTCTGTCGAAGACTTCTGGTGAAGTAGAAAGCACATGAATCTTATTGTTCAATCACCTACTTCCCACACGCAACAGTAGCTCATGGGTACCATAGATAACTTTGCCAAAGTTCTCTGCCAAAGTTGAGACACGTGAAGCTTGCAGCTCCCACTACATCGCTCTGACCAAGAAGGGTAAAAGAATAGCAAAGAAATAGCACTAACAAAGTTTAGACACATAAATTTTGAAGGTCTAGCTACCATATTATTACCCACAAGGGTAAAGGAACAGTACCACTGCTGGATAATTGGAAAGTCCCTGTGTGTCAACCTATGTGCTTCGTGGCAAGGTAGACTAGCAAACATGCCCAACCTGTACTCACATTCGAGAAAACACTCCCAACAAGATTGCTTGCTCCAAAATCGAAGAGGCACCGTCCTCCGAATCTCGAGAGCCAGACTCCCAACATGACTACTTTCTCAAAAATCGAAGAGAGGGTAAAGGAACAGTACCATTGCTGGATAATTGGAAAGTCCCTGTGTGTCAACCTTTGTGCTTCGTGGCAAGGTAGACTAGCAAACATGCCCAACCTTTACTTACATTCGAGAAAACACTCCCAACAAGATTGCTTGCTCCAAAATCGAAGAGGCACTGCCCTCCGAACCTCGAGAGCCAGACTCCCAACATGATTACTTTCTAAAAAATCGAAGAGACATCGCTCTCCGAATCTCGAGAGCCAGACCTCCAGCATGATTGCTTTCTCAAAAATCGAAGAGGCATCGTTCTCTGAATCTCGTGAGCCAGATCCCCGATAGGATTGCTTGTTCGAAAACCGAAGAGGCACCACTTTCCCAACTTCAAGAGCCGGATATCCTTGGATAAAGCTTGTCTGTAATCTTCACACGCAACATCAGCTTTCCAGATACCACAGACCACTTTTTCAAAGTGCTCTGACAGAGTTAAAACATGTAAACTGGCAGCCCCCACTACCGTGCTATGACCAAGCAGGGTAAAGGAATAGCATTACTACTTGTTGTTAGGGATACTCCTATATATGTCGACCTCCATCCCCAACGGACAGGCAGACCTGCAAAAATGCTCAACCCTTCCTCATATCTGAGAGGGCACTCCCAACGAAGCCTTTCGAAATATTCAGCTTTCTTTCCCCCGGATAATACCTCTGCAAACAAGCTATACTAGAGCAAGAATATCTCATATCATCAAGGTTAAAAGCAAGAGTATCCCATATCATGCTTTTTCCCTGTTTTTTCCTTTGGCCTTATTCTTACCTGCAAGACAAGGAGAAAGAGAGCAATCAGTCAGCACTTGGAATCAAGATTCCAGCCAGGAACTGACTGCCTGGAACCTCTTACCTGATTACTTACCTGGCATTGCTCTCGAGTACTCATCTTCAACATCTTATGCTTCCAAGGAAGATACCGCATCTGCCTGAGGAACAGATAGGGCAAGTGAGAAGGATACAAGGAAGCATGTGGAGACAAGCGTAACAGCACACGTGTCGATACATCCACTACTCTGTCAAAAGCAAAAGTATCCCATATTAGCAGGGTCGAACGTACTCTAGATTTGATGGACTTGTTTTGACCCTCAAATTCTTCAGTTGGCCTTATACTCTGGAGGAAACAAGAAAACCCTCCAGCTCAGTTCAAGAATAAACCTGTGGAAAGTTACTTCTTCAAAAGCAAAAGTATCCCATATCACCCCTTCTCATTTTTCTTCTCTTTATCCTTCATGCTGCCTGCAAGATAGGGAGAATGTGAACAATCAGCCGGAGCTCTGATTGCTTACCTTGTCTGTCACCTCTTTCAGCAAATCCCCTAGCTCGGCGACTTGGGGGACTCCTACTACATGGTTTGTATCGCGCTTGACCAAGCCTGAAACTACAAGTAAGCTTCAAGTGAAATTGATACATTACCTTGTGCATCTCCACCAGTTAAAGATACCACTCCTGGATGGAGGAAGAGTACTTCCAGAGAAGATGCCACATCTACCTATGAGACAGATAAGGCAAGTCAAGACGATACCACACTCCGATACTTAGAAGTTTCGTGATTACGAGATCATTCTCCCACAATATTTCCTAATGTCATTTGTACTAAATCATTCACTTGTACTCACTAAAGGAGAACTTGAACCTATGTACTTGTGTAAACCCTTCACAATTAATGAGAACTCCTCTATTCCGTGGACGTAGCCAATCTGGGTGAACCACGTACATCTTGTGTTTGCTTTCCTATCTCTATCCATTTATATACTTATCCACACTAATGACCGGAGCAATCTAGCAAAGATCACAAAAAGCGACCGTTTTCGCTACCTAGGATCTATCTTGC